TAATATGTGACAGCAATTTATGAACAATCAATTTGCATGACTATAACATTATCAAGTGTCTTTACCTGACAAGAGATGTTATATATGGACATTCCACTTAAGCATTTTGGTGTTAAAATTTTAATCATTTACCCGCATGATATTATGGCTGCACTTAATTTTTCTTTAATGTGGACTACTTATATTAAGATCATATTTTGACCTAACCTGAACTCTCATCCTCAGGCAGTCAAAAATAGCAAAGGTCACATTCAGAACAGATGATCCTAGGATCTACTGATCCATGGATCCAATATGGCGGACCCTACATGAAAGCAAGACCACCTAATCCTTTAATGGTCTCCCTGCCTCCGCACCGATTAAAATTTGGCTTCGAGGTTTAAATGCTAGGCCCCTACAGGGAAGGTTCGTGTGGAGGTGGGGGAGACCATTAAGGGATTATTTGGTATTGCTTTTTAGTAGGGTCGGCCATATTTAGTCCACGGCACATGAAGTTAATGGATCATCTGTTGTGAATGAGACCAGACACATTTAATTTGTGAAATGCACCCCGAGTTTCAAAGGACATTAGAAACTTGCCTCTCTTCCATCAGCATGCCAGGTGAGTTCGCAGTGTCTGCTGAAAATCAGGGTGATGGAGTTTGGAGGAGGGAGTTAGACTGCATATATTTCAGTCCAGAATGTACCTTGTCTGAATGCAGCTAATGGCTTTAGGTATTTAATTCAGGATTTCAGATGACTGTATTATCTTGACTGAAACTGTTAATATAATGCTTGAAATATTATTATTATAGTTCAACTTGTATGTTATATACAATTAAAATGTGTGTTTTCTGGTTGTTTTAAACAGTTATATATGTGCACTTGTTGACTCTTAGATGCACATCTGCATTCCCTGTTGCACTATTGTATTAATTTCTGCATTTCTACGTTTCTTATATATTATGGTCGCAGGCCTGTAGCCAGCAACTTCCGGGATGGCATCTTTTTTCTAGAACCAAAAAATGGACCTTTTTACTATAATGAAACAGAGACTAGTTTTGATTCAGAGAAGACTTTTTGGAAGTCTAAAGGGCAGGTCATTTGAACCACCCAAACCTCCCCTGGCAACAGGCCTGGTTATTGTAGAACACCTTGTCCATTATAGCACTATATTCTGTTTCTGTTTGTTCGCACCCATATGCTTGTGCTTTAGGATGAAGAAGTCAACCGTTGCAATATGTACAATTGTTTATGTATGTCACATTCGTGTACCTTCCGTTGCAGGGATGTGATACCTTTTTGCTATTATTTCTGTGTTGTATCAGTATCATTGTTATCAGCAGAGGGGTGTTTTGGAGAAAGGTGGTTTATCAAACTTAAAGTGCTCTAGCACCCTGAGTGAAGAGAATGAAATGCTAAAATTTACTTGTTCACAGATTTTATTTGACTGAACAAGATATCTTTTTTAACTGCAGTCCTTAAAATAATGCATAAAACTGAATGAATTTATTTACAAATGATAACTCTTGAATAATGTGATACTTTGGGTGTTGAAATGGCATGCAACCTTCAGATGTTGGCAACTGTATCCTCATTTGAAAATAAATGTTTCCTTTCTGTTTTATTTTTTGAAGAACTGTTGCAAGGTGAAGCTGAGAAGTGCTCCCTCCCTGACGACCACAAGTATACTTATCCTCACTGTTTGGGAAAAGTTGATGTGAGACTTCTTTTCATGAAAACTATGGCTATTCTTCTTGTACTCTAATATATATCTATAGCTATTTTTATAAGACGTCAATAATGAATCATCATCTCCATGTACATCATTTTTATAAGTGCTCTCTTTTATTTTGATGCAGACAATCAAGCACATCATATCATTATCAAGATAGCAGAGTATAAAAGAAAGAAATAAGATAAAAAAAAATATTAAGAGTATACATACCTTGCTAAAAGATTTTGCCATGGAATTTTCATTTAACATTTTTTGAACACGCACATTTACCCAGTAATTTTAACTTTTCTTTCAGTGGATGAAGGGCCACTGGAAGTCAGACAAGTGTTACAGCAATTTAGGTGTAGATGGCTCTGTATGTTCTTTTATCATTTATTTAAGTGAGGTAAGATTGTGCGAAGATAATTTCGAAACATTATTTTGAAAGAAAATGACCAAATGTTCTTAAATTATCCTATATGCAAAGCAAAGATATGTGAGTTAAAGTAATTATTGTTGGGTGTCTTGCACTTAAACAGTATTGATGATCAAATGCAAACAAGCAAACAAAAATGTCTGTGGTCTATGTCGGTGGCATCAGTGTTGCTGTTTTGTCATCGTACCTGTGCACTTTTCATTGTTAATGCAATAAATGGATGACAATGTGACCTAATATCCTAAAAATTACCTGTCCAATTACTGGTATAATACACATTAAGTTCAGCTTTTTTGGATCAGTCCATTTTTCTTAAATTAATGCATTTTTTGTGTGGTTTTTTTTTTTTAGTTTTCATATATTGGCATTTTCTCTATATTTTAGGTAGAGAATTGGTGTCCAAAATTTCCGTGGCGACTCAATGTATCCGAGTCACAGCATCTACAAAATCGCAACGAGGTGAAGTATATTATAGAATAATAGTTTATTTTTTATTAACTATAGAATAATATTTATTTTTATTTTATTAAAATAAGTTGTTGAAGTGATATTAAGGGAAAGTTATCAAAGATGGGAAAAAATTTTGATTTTATGGAGCATTTCATCCAAGTGGTTTGCAAGCTCTCTTATGCCTTAAAAGCTTTATTCTATATAAGTTGGCAAATCCATAAAATAACACATTTCAGTATTGTACTCTGGAAATTGGAGTTTGTTGCCTCTGTTATAGGCCATAATACCAGAGAATGCAGCTGCGCTGATGAATTTGTTGACAGACTCAAACAGCCGCAAGCCATATGCCTGGATACGCCATCGCATCCAGCAGATCTGGCCAAAATGGAAGCAAAGTGCAATAGATTTGAACAGCAAAAGCAGTTTGAAGGGAAGAAAACAGAAAAATGTTAGTAACATTTGTCATTAATGGTATCAATCTAGTTGGTTTTCCCATTAATATTAGCCTGAAGTTTATCACAGCACAGTGATATTAATGACTTACATAAGTACCAATATTCTTTATGAAGAAAGTGCTGATTTATGCAGTAGTACATCAGATTGCCTGTGGATGGAAATTGAGATAAAATACAAAAGATTTCTATAAGGTATTTTCTACAGATCATCCAGTCAGAATGTCTCAGAGAGAAAAATTTTTAAGTGACTTTTCTGATTGTTTGCACTTATTAGCTATATCATCTAGAACTGATGGAATATTTATTAATGGGGACTTTAATGCCCATTCAAAAAACTGGTTCATGGAGGGGAAAGAGGATGCAATAGGGCAATCAATAAATTAACTTCTACACACCCATGGTTTAGATCAACTCTTGAATAAACCGACCAGAATACAAGGGAATTCATCTACCTGCATTGATTTAACTATAACTAACATTCCAGGAATGGTAATGAGCGCGTCTGTCGAGACTCCTATTGGATCAGAGGATCACAGTATGCTCATGACCTCTTTTGATACTTTTCTACCTGTACATAAAAATAACAATTTACTGTTTAATCTGGATTTCTCAAAGGTCATAGCACAGAACGTCAGCTACTGGCAATTCAAAATTTGATAAGAAGTAACTTAAGAAAAGGACGGGACATAAGAGGAATATTTTTCGATATTTCGGTAGCCTTCGACAGAGTCCCGCATAAACTGCTATTAATTAAATTGTCAGCGTACGGGTTCAAAGGTAAATTATTTTCACTTTTATCATCATACCTGCAGACCAGAAAAGTGAGGGTATCTATTAATGGCCTGTTATCCGAATCAACTGAAGGAGGCTATATTAATACCAGCATCTCTCAAGGTAGCACCCTATGTCCCTTGCCCTTTCTCCTTTATATTAATGACTTAACTGACAACCTTTCTATTCAGCGACCATAAGAAACTTCTCAAAACTCAATTTAATTCACTACCAAGCAGGAGATTCCAAGGAAAACATTTCATAAACACTTAGGATTTGTCCTACACTCAAAACTGACTTTTTCTGAAGATATTAGCTACATAGCTTCTAAAGCCCCAAAGGCCTTGAACCCCTTAAGATACCTTTCTCATAAGCTCAGGTCAAAGCATCTTAATATTTTATACAATGTTGATTACTGTGATGTTCTCTACCATTCAGCGAGCATAAGAACCCTCTCAAAACTCTCTTCAACATTGTATAAAATATTAAGATACCTTTCTCATAAGCTCAGGTCCAAGCGTCTTAATATTTTATACAGTGTTGATTACTGTGATGTTCTGTAGAGTGAGCATAAGAACCCTCTTAAAACTCTCTTCAATTCACCACCAAGCGGGTTTACTGGTCCTGGGTGCTTTACCTGGTTCTGATACATTCAAGGTACTAAGACAACTGAACTGGACAACACTTAATTACAGAAGGATAATGCATGCCATAAAAATAATGTTTAGTCACTGAGTAATTTCTTTGGTTTTCAATCCCATTTTGACGTAGGCAACTGAGGTAAAATTTCAGTTTTCTGGTCAAGCTGTCATATTGTTGTGCTTTTTTGTTTTCAGATACTCATTCATATAGGGGCTCTGACAAAACAATCTGGGTTCAAATTTGCTGAGACTGCAGATAAAGGTGAGGAGCACTTATAAGTGACATTGTTCATTTATACAGGCTGTTTGTCAGTGAAACACACTATATTCAGATGGAAGCAATGTCTCTTTTCAATGGTGTCTGTATTGCGCTTTACTTTCTAGGTTTTTAAAACGTTTTTTTATTTTGTAATTTTTTTCTTACAAGATTAAAAATAATCGAGGATTTATATTTAATAGTATGTTTACTTGAAGCAGACAGTCGCAGAAATACCTACTTATGATTTATTTATTTATTAATTAATTTATTTATTTATTGGGTATTTTTAGGTATGATTTATTTATTCATTTATTTGGTATTTTTAGGTGGACCCCTGGGTGAATTATTGCAGTGGAGTGATATCATAACCAGTTTATATTTATTAGGTCACAAACTGACTATAACAAGTGAAGTAGAGGAGCTAAGAAAGTATGTCACTTTTCTTTTCTCACATCTTTCTTCCTTTTTTCACTCTCATTAAAGACATGGGGAGCAAATACTCCAAGCAGCATATTTTCATTATATTTTTTGTACTTTTGAAGTAATTTTCCACGTAAACTTCACTTCTTTCAGTTATCTAAGATACAAAAACCAAATTAATACATCTAAATCTTTTTAAATATTTTGTTAAAAAAAAAAAAACAGAATAGTCTCTATTCTCAAATTTCATTGTTTTTCCCCACTTTTAATTAATCTTTTTAACTTGTTGAGATTTAAAAAATATTTTGAAATAAATTTCATTACTGCATACAAAAAATAAGAAAGAAAAAAAAATAAAAAGCATTGGCTACGTGTGTGATTGCATTAGTTGATCTCTGATTGTGGTGACTATCATATTTCACATACATAACAGTTTGTCTTCATCATGTTCATTGTGATTTGTTGACTTCCACAAAATATTTCACTGGAATACATGATGTATTATGACTTTTTTATGTTGATTGTATTATGTAGATCCCTTATGTGTTTATATTTCACTAGAATACATGATGTATTATGACTTTCTTTTTCGTCGCTTGTGTTATGCAAATCCCTTATATGTCTCTACATTCATTTTGAGTAACAATTTACTTTTGTTCATACTTTTTTTTCTCTCTCTTCAAGAATTTTATCAAAGTTCCCAGATGCAAAGATACAGTGTCAGGTGCGTTCCTCGCTTCCAGTAGATGTGATATTCACAGATATAGTGGGCCTCAAGCAGTTCAAACAGTATGTTGGGCATGGCTACGGCAAATTCAGGTTAGACTGAGACATCTATTATGATAAAGTTTTCGTTTGTTCTCATTGCATTATTATTATTATTATTATTATTTTATTATGACTATTATTTTTTTCATATTGAGAAAGTCACTGTAATTATGTGTTGTAATTTGTGTGTTTGATTGCTTAAATATTCTGGTATAAATGACACGTTGCCCAGCAGTTGAACATTTGACAAAATAAGAGAGCAGTGCAGATGAAATTGTACGTTATTTAGTTATTTCAAATACCAGTTGTCAGTAATGAAATGACTTAATAATTGATTCTTAAATGATAATTATTATTTTAATATGTGTTTGTAAATATATGTGCATCTAGGTATGATTAAGTTTTTTAATGGTAGTCACACTGGTAATTTTATCATCCATGTTTTATATCCATCTGAACTTAAAGGCATCAGAATATTAACCTTTTCAACCAGTATCTCTCTACGTACATGGATATAATTAAACTTTCCATCGTATAGAAAAGTATCTGTTCTCTTAACATGATTCACTCTGCATTTCTAAATATCAGTGATGAAAAAGCTGGCATGCATATGCTTTGAAACTTGCAGGTATATAGCCCAGAAACCTTGTAGTACTAGCCTAAACTGGTAATAGTCTGAGCGACATCACCAAATGACAAGATTACATAGGGATGTTCATCTGGCTTTAGACTGTCAAATGCCATGTTTAAGGGTCACATTAAGGGTGTTGAAGTTTTAATTAGCTAGAACTACATATGTAACAAGACTTGAATTTTTCAGGAAATCACAATACTTTCTAAGTTCCAATTTCACTCTTGAAATGGAGATAGAGACTGATGAATTTTACAATACTGATAATTAGACATTTAAAACTTGAAAATGAATCTTATAAATCATAAGTTTTTCAGCAGTCTTGGATAAGGTAAACTTAGTGAAAAAGGACAAATTGCTGAAACTTCAAGGAAGAATTTTTTTTTTTTTTGTTTTATAAAGGTCTCTACATGCAATGTATGTCATTAAACAATCTTGCCACTTCTGCTATCAGTTGGACCATTTCCAGAAGCTTTATTCAGTTTGACCACAATAATGCTCCTAGAATTTAAAGCTGAATGACAGAAGTTACATCTCCTCCTAGCTCAGCTTATCACAGTAGCTTATCACACAATCTTCTTGTTAACATGACAGATTACAGACATAATTTAGGAAAAGGGGTTGATAGTATGTGATCTTTCAATCTGTCATGCCTTGGAGACGAGAAGTCGCGGAGAATCATCTGTAAACTCTGATCTATTAGACTTGATGATTTCTGTCCCTTACAAGGACCCCTTAGACGTAATACATAGGTCAAAGAAAATACTTCACTCCTTCAACTGTAAAGAAATCTATAAAATGTCTGATAGCTGAGTCAAGGTGCCGTGTTAAATGATTTGATGTTTGGCATGTGATTTACTGCTATGATCGGCTTAGGATTCTTAAGTTAAAAATGAGTAACTCACCTCCAAGAAATGTGAGTTGTTTATTATACAAAGGGGTTTTGATTCATTGGAGCTTTTATGCTACAATGGCATTTTAGACGATGGCATTAATTATTTTGTTAATTTTAAAATCTTAAAGCACAATAATAGCCTCTTGAAATTTATATGAAACTTAATGTAAAATGTAGAATCTGTGAGATGAAAGCACACAGATGTTTACAGGTATTGTGGCAAACAGTCTTTGGAATTCAGGCTTTGATACTTGATAACTATTCTTTAACTTGATTATATATATGCTTAAAACATTTGAAAAGCATTAGTTGTGAACAAGATCATTTCCCTTATGCCTTACACAGCCCATAGCATGATAAAAGATATCTCACCTTCATGTGAGCTGTGGAAAGGAAATAAGCAGAAATTTATGACAATACAAAGAATACACTTGATAGTTTTAGGGAAATGAATAAGTATTATGAAGCCTAATAAAAAACTGAGTAAACTTTAGTACTCACTTTTATCCTTTGTGTCTATTAAACAATGAACCAGCTGCCTATTTCCTAAAGAGTAAAAGTCAGATGCTTTTTGCTATTGATTTTTCAATGTATATGGGAATAGAGAAGCTCTTTCCCTGTGTTGTTATTTCCGCTGCATGCCCTCGTGCTGATTGTAAGATTAACGTAAGGAGCCCGAGTGACGCATGTTCCATAAAAAAGTTTGTTTGTGGTTTTTGTTTGGAATTTGAGTTAAATGTGAGACTAGCAAAATGATGGATGCATATCCTGCATAATAATAATAAAAAAACAATATTCAAGCAATTTTTGTATTTTAAGCTGAGAGTTAAACGTCGTCTTTGCAGTCCCCGTGTATTCAAATGAAATAAAATGGTCAACTTAACAAAATTTGTTTAGATCTTAGTCAATGCCTACTGGCTCCTTTGCCTTCTGTTGCCATTACAGATTTTTGTGCGGTCTTGTTAAATTGCCAGCTTATCTTACGTAATGTTTTATCAACATCAGTGAAATAAAAAATGAAAAAAATTGATTTAACAAAAATGGCCTACTCTAACTTTCATGTCCTGTTGAAACTATTTCATCTTTGTAATTGTACACATCTCTCTGTTTGAATTTCAATTTTTAGTTATTACTTGGCAATAACAGCATGTTATTCCACGTGTATATTGCAGAATTGTGTTAGCTTTAAAAGAGGTACTAGAATATATTAAGAGTATTACTATTACTTCAGGCAAGCTACAGACATGTTTGAAAATTTAGGTATCTAATTCCTTTTTTTCAGCATCTTTGCACAGTTGAACGAGAGAAAAAATGACATACTGCCTGATGTTAAATGTTGCCATCTGATATTAAAAAAGGTTATTTTTTCATTTCCTTGTAGGGCACGATACCAGATAAACCTCTAATTAATGACCTATTAATTTTGTGAAGTGCATTACTCAGGTCTCTACTTAATAGACCATGTTTTAATTAAGGATTTCCTTTTTTTTCAGCTGTCTCCTAAGAGTTATTGATTCATTTGGTACTGAACCAAGCTTCAACCATGATCAGTATGCCAAGGCACACAAAATGATGACCACCTGGGGCAGACAAAACCTCATTCCTCAACAGTTCTTTAACATGTTTCGTAAGTACATAGAAAGCGTAAGGGATATGATGGGACACCTTTTCTTTCATTATAATTAATAGGAAGCATTGGTTCACATAAGCCTGGGTTTCTTTATTGTTAAATAAAATTGGCAATGCATTTTCGCAATCAGTTAGAAGATAAATAAAACATTTTAAATCTCTGAATGCATTCAGGTCTTTGAACATAGTATGAAATGCATTAGTTGTTTCTCACTGCCATTCTGATTCATGAAATTCCCTTTGATATACTGTATATATATATATATATATATATATATATATATATATATATATATATATATATATATATATATATATATATAGTAAAGCTCTCACTATCACTTTGTTTTTCCAGTGAGAAAAACAACCATGCAAAATTTAAGTAAATTTTTGTTCCATGAATCGACAGTCTCATTTTTCTGAACATATTATCTTTTTTTTTTTTCTAGCCCATACTCCAGATAACTCTTTCATTGGTTTTGTTGTGGAGACGCCGGATAATATCTCTTCTTTGAACAGGGTAGTTAGAAAAGAGGACCAGGCCCTGGTGTATGGGAAGCATTTGTCCATGTGGAAGGTAAGAAGACCCTGACTGGAATAATCTTTCCTCCGTCTGTTAGATTACATTCAATTGGTTAAAAAGGGATGTAATTGGTTGAACTTTGTCCCAAATGGACATAATTTCTGGTTTCAGTAATGATTCTGTTGAATTGTTTATATTGCATTCCTCACGTTTGAAATATGCATGAAAAACCTATACTATTTTTCTTTTCATAAAAAGAGTTTAAATATGTTAATAATTCAATGACTATAGAGCTCACTGTTGAAAAACAGTCCAAATTTTTATATAAGATACAGTACTATGTGCACTCGTCCAGAAATTGGAACAGAGGAATTAATGATATCACTGTGTCATTCGCCATAAAGGCAATAAATGATAAACCCTACAGACTCTCAAAATTTCGTGTGTAAGAATATTATTTCTGTCAAATGCTTGACAGTAATGACATTTTCCAATAAGTGAACAGGCGTCAGCTGTAAAGTTGATAATTTGGGTTATAGTAAAGAAACAGAAATGGTAAACATGCAAGAACAACTTATAAATGAATCTCTTATGTTACATGTATTGTGATAAAGTTAAATACAAATAATAATCTTCAAAAGACATCTTCAGCATAATCCACATACTGTTATGATCATATGCCCCCCATTCATTTTCCAGGGCAAGAAGCAATACCTTGACATTATCCATGAATTCTTTGAAATTCATTCCACGTTTTATGCCGGGGGTGTGAAGAATGAAGATAAACAGGAGGTGCCATCCTATGTTATAAATCATGGGATCCTCAGCCCTGGCGAGATACAGAAGCTTTTGAGAGAGTCCAAAGTGAGTTTGATGTCTGATATTTTTGAGAAAGTCCAAAGTGAGTTTGATGTCTGATATTTGCATCGATTCTCATAAAATATCATGGAGATTGATGTTGATTGCTGTCCGCATGTGAAACGTTTCTGCTACTAGTGCAAGACCAGATGTGTTTCAACCCTCTTTACTAAGTCAAATATGTGCACACGCAAACACACACATTTACACACACACAAATTCATGCAAATGCCACACAAACAAATAGTTGCGTGTACACATGTGTACACACGTGCATGCATGCAAATTAATACCACACAAGCAAGTAGTTGTGGATGCACATGCATGCACACACACACACACACACACACACACACACACACTTGTTATGTGAGTGTGAGGTTTTACTTGTCTTTGTTTATGTTCTTCTAGATATTTGTTGGCCTGGGATTCCCTTATGAAGGGCCAGCTCCACTTGAAGCCATAGCAGCCGGCTGTGTGTTCCTCAATCCCAAGTTCAGCCCACCACACACAAGCCAAAACACCAAGTTCTTCAAGGGGAAACCAACATTGAGGGAGGTAATGAAAAAAAAATAACCCCATATTTTGTGTAGATTGAAAATTCTTTGCTCTTTTTCCAATGGGATTAATTTTGCTTTCCAATGCTTTGCTGACTTCATTGGTAATATGGCATGGCTTTGTGGCTAATGATACCTAACGTGAAGTGAGTTATCCTGACAGGAAAAAATCCACTGGGAAATATCTTTTTGTTTTGTGATGAAATGTAATGTCAGCAGTCAAAATGATATATTTGATGTGTAAGAAACATTATTGACCACTGCAGGACAGCAGCATTCTTATACTGGCTGTGTAGAATGGACCATAAGTTGAAATTTTGAATCATTTATCACTAGTGTGAAATTCTAATAAAATATAAGATTAAGAGTGATGAGAATATATGACTAAGAGTGGAGTCATGAGGTAGTATGATAATTGAAACTTGACTTCTATAGAAGAATTGTAAAATAAACATGACAGCACTGGAAGTTTCATGAATGGAGTTATTGATAGGGTTTGATTTGATTTTGACATTTTTGGTAGATTGGTTGACATTCTTTCAAAACTTATTTAAATTTGATCACTATACCCAGGCAAGTATTTTTTATGGCATATAAAAATGGAAATATGAAAAAGTTTGTCCCTGATGTCAAAAAAATTGAATTAATATAAGTGCAGTATAATGGCATCCTTATTTGTGAATAGATTAGAAGACTCAAAAAAGTGCATGACATTAGCTTACCTATTTTATATGACATCAGTTAAAAAAAAACATTAGGCAATTACCTCAAAACATCTTAAGACAATGGCCTTAATCTGCCCCTCTTATGTGTGTGTATCTATAATGAAAACATTTCTCATAAAGGGAAGTCAAGGTATGATCTTTCTTTCAGGTTACTAGTCAGCATCCCTATGCAGAGGTATACATCCATGAGCCTTATGTTTATACAGTGGACATTAATAACCTTGAAGAACTGCGGACAGCTTTGAGGAAAATCAAACAGCAATCTCAGGTATACATTCACCACAAATTGCATATATCATTGTTGACTTCTCTTTAACTTTTGATCACTCTCTTTATAAAATTTTAGTTTTTTAATGTATTGATACAGATTTGGGCATGTTTGAGTCACCCTTTGCTTCATGGAGACTTCACCTGCCACAAATGGAACTTTTAAGTTTTGCTGTTCAGCCTTGAGATCTGATATTATATACTTTTATTTGTAATAATGTTAATTTTTTGGAGAAAGGTATGATGAGACATTTTAGTTGTGAGGTGCATATGTGGATGGATCATTTGCAAAAAAGATGTTACTCATGGATAACTTGAAAAAGGAATCACTGGCTGAAGTATTAAATCATTCAACTTCTTTTGAAAAAGTTTTGTTACTGTGTAAAAAATGTTTTTTCATTCTTGCAGGTTGAACCATACTTACCTTATGAATATTCAGAAGAAGGCATGCTGCAGCGTGTCAATATATTTCTTGAAAAGCAGGACTTCTGCAGGGTTCCGGTGGAAAGTTTTGTCCCAGATCAAGCAGTCCAGACAATTATAGCAGACACCGGGAAGTCGTGTAAAGATGTGTGCCATAATAGAGGTAAGCCACACCATTCAGGCCTGTAGCCAGCAATTCAAAAGGGGGGGGGGGTCTTTTTCGGAAAAACTGGACCTTTTACCAAGAAACCTTCGTGTACCTAGATGAAATTTTTCCAAAGGGGACCTTTTCCCAGCAAAAAAAAGGGGGGGGGGGTCTTTCGGATCCTTCGAACCACCCCTGGCTCTGAGCCTGTTGTTATTGATCCGGTGACATCTCCTACCTGAGACAAATTAAAAAATGTTATATACTCTGTGCCAAATTAAAAATACACCATATCAAAATTGAGAACTATCAAATCTCTAAAGACCATGGGCACTGAATACTTTGAAAAACTGAATAATTTTAAGTGTTTCTAAATGACTCTTAATGTATTTTTAAATATCCTCATAGTCCCAATTAATTTATTTCATCTTAACACTTTTAATTACCAATTTATTAATCTTATTTTATAAGTGAATTTTTACCATTTATATTATTGGACAATACAACTGTTTAAGTTGCAAATAACTAATTATTATTATTATTATTATTATTATTATTATTATTATTATTATTATAAATAATCTGATGCCTGGTACAAGTACTGGTACAAGACTGTCTCATTGCTAACTTTAGTTTTTTTTTAGGATAGAAGTAAAAATAATTTGGGTCTTAGGTTCTCAAACTCTGAAAATCTCAGTGGGAAACCTTTGGTGATTTCTCTGTGTGATTCTTCCCACTGCTGATCAGCATAGGTTAGGAATAACTGTTAATTATCCATGCAGTTTTGTGTTATTTTGACAATAGCACATAGGGTGCATTTCACCATCTTTGTCCTGGCTAGAAAGACAAAGTCATATATCTGTAAGATGCAATGCTAAAACCCTAAAAGTACCATTAGTCTATAGGGCATGAGTGGAAAATATGTTAAGAAATGAACATGCTATTCCAATTTTTTTGTGAGTGTAAAATATTTGGAATGTTATAAACTCCAAATGTTCTTATGTAATTACTAAGTTCATTTGTTTAATTAGTACCACCAGCGTATACGCTGGCGGTACTCATGGTTTTAGTCCCGACCTGTCTCGTACAGCTCCGCCGGCTCCTGCGGCTCCGCAGTCGGGCGCCGGAAACAAGTCACCGTTACCGCTTCTCCTCCTAGACCGCCAGGACCTGTGTCCCCATCTCTTGGATTTAGGTCACATATAATCTCAACTTGAACACCCTGGTTTTTTGGTCTCTGTCGGTGCATTGGCCTGGGCGTGACACTTGTTGAAACGCACCCTTGTCAAAATTTTTGAAAATTCAAGGCTAAATATCTCCCAAACCAAAGGAATTATGGGAAAAATTACTACAGAAGTCTGACCGAAAGTCATATGTGGAGATTCCAAATATGCCCTTTGATATGACTTTTGACCTTTTTTTCAAGGTCAAACAAGCCAAAATTTTCTAAAAATGGGAATTTTCTGCAAAAAAATATTTGTTTGTGCTATTTTTTGGAAACTACACAGATCTAAGCTCTCCTGTTACAGTGAGGGGTTACAATTGGGGACTCCTTTCATCTTTGGGAGTTTGGGGTCAATCGGTGCATTTCCACGGGAGAAGCAGCCATTAGATACCGAAACTGAAAACTTGCCTTTATTCTGGAATGGTAAATGCCAGAGACCTTTTGTTCATCGCACTTTATAGAACTTGTCAAGTGCAATACTGGAGGTGGTGTCCATTTTTTTGTTTTCGATATGGTTTAGGCATTGCGCTATATCAAAAATTACAACATCGCAATATTCAGTGGGGAAAATGTTAAATATTCCAAAACTGGCAGAGATACGCCCATAGTTACTATTGAACTTGAATAGGAAGTTATATACAAGTAATCTAACTGTGACCTTTAAATTGACCTTTGACCTACTTTTCACCATGAACTGAACTTTGCAAATTTTCTATCCCTTATATCTCGAAAACTGGCAGAGATAGGTCCAAAGTTACTATTGAACTTGAATAGGAAGTCATGTACTGGCAATCTTACTGTGACCTTGAAATTGACCTTTGACCTATTATTTATGATGAACTGCACTTTGCATGTTTCCTGGCCTTCATATCTCCAACATTGGCAAAGAAATGCCCATAGCTACTATTAAACTTTTATAGGAAGTCATATACTGTAACCTTGAAATTGACCTATGACCTACTTTTTACCTCAAACTGAACTCTGCATATTTTCTTGCCCTTCATATCTTCAAAACTAGCAGAGATCTGCCCAGTGTTGTCCCTAGGTTTTCTCTTTCAAGTATGCCGCCATTTGAACACTTAGACTGGAACTTTTTTCTGTCAATACAGTGAGTTGACCATATCCCCAGCCAATAGGAACTGCCATATTGGCCCATCCTCTCTTGTGGCCTTGACTGTTAAGAATAATATTAATAAACAGTGTGATATTCACAATTTTGCAATCTACAGAACAAAAATCAGTTGTTGTGCATATCAAGTAATCCTTATCTAAACACTCCTTATAACTAATACCATTAGAATCATTGAGATTACGGTTCAGTTATATACAAATGGGGTTTTCTGTGAAGATTTAAATTCTTTGCACATTTCACTGTTTTTATTTTAATGTTTTTATCTGTTTGAAAAAATCACAGGGTCTGTTTGGTGGGTGAAGGAGGGGCTTTACCACTGACCAGACTTTTCCCACTTTTGTTGCAATTATGACTTCTTCGGGGTCATTTGGGTCATTCTTGTGAATCGTGCAAATTGGGTGAATCGTGTTAATCCTACTTTTTCAGTGAGGACTGATCTCATGTCTGCTATAAGTCTGACTCTGAAAGAATCTACAGACTAAGCAAACTGTATATACTCTGAAAGGTGGTTCCCCTCTAGAAAGTAGCGGGTAGAAAAGGATTAATTCTCACAAGCCATTAAAAAGCAAATTTTGCCCAGTAAAACAGTATTTATTGATACTTTTGGCTCTACAATGTACATTAGCTATTGATTAAAAACAATAGCAACTTCTGGTGCAGGTTGTGCACTCAAATCCCAGTTATTACTACTATATATGATTTTTTGCGGTTAAAGCTGATAACCCCTCAATAATACATATCAGTAACAATCAAGTGGTGCTGTGCAGGTATGAGAGAATAAAAAAAATCATAGTTGTTTTTTAATTGTCTTCTTATGGTTTGGTAATACAGATACTAGTACTAACATGTGCACATTATGATGTATTAAGCTGATCTAGATAATAATGATTCAAAATTGTATTTTGCGTTAAGTTTTGTATTTTCCTTTTTATAACAAAATTGATTACTGAGTCACACAAATGAAAATGTCATGCATACATTGACTGTGCATATATATATTGGAAAAAGAATGACATTCATATATATATATATAGGTTTGTGTAATATTTTACTGCAAGACAGCTTCTTTATCTGCCTCTTTATCCCTCCCACTTCTTCCCCATAAAATGAAAAGAAAGTTACTGGAACTTAGATATTCCTCATATATCCTAAATCACAAAACTAAATTACCCAAGTAAGAAATGTGTAAAGGCATATTTTGAAAATATCAGGGACATTCTAATTTCCAAAACAAATTCCATCTACCTTATTCTTCATGTAGATGAAAATAGACTAATGCACATATAATAAAGATAATATATACTAAAATATCAAGTCTTGCTGATGAGAAATACCAGTACATTCTGTTGTATCGTAAATCAATATGCATAACGTTACAATCACACAGGCAGTTACTAGAGACTGGTATGCAGTATAAAGTGGAATGTCCTTCATATTTTTGCTCTGTCTCTGAAAGTACCTGTAAAGAGCATTTACAGCTGGCATAATCATTTGGTGTCTCATTAAGAGAATAACAGGGTTCATACAACAACAGTGAGCACAAACCAAAATACTTTTGAAGCTCTTAATCTTGGAGTGAAGGCCTAGGGGTGTCTGGAGGTGGCATCCCACTTGCTACTACTCCCGGTGATAGACCTAAACAAAATAATATAAAGTTAACAGAAATTTTGACCAAAGAAAGTGCTTGAGCTACATCATTTCCAAGATGGTAGATCACCAGCATGCATGTTTTCCTGAAACACAATTATGCTACCAGTACTTAACCAAACACTGGCATGTTACAAGGGAGTATGTAACTGTATGTTTATACTGCACAAAAACTTAAATTTGAAATGCACATGAAGTATAATAAGTAATTTGCCAGGCATGTGCTGCATTTTTTTTTTGTAAGTGTGAAACACGTGTACTTAGAACATGATTTTAAGATTAGTACATGTTTAACAGTGAACCTAAAATTGACATATAAACTTACCTTCTTCATCTGATCTTTGCAATTTTTCAAACTGCCTAACAGCCTTTTTAAAACTAAATCTTTAATCATAAATTACAATCACAAGTGTGGAAATGTTTTGAAACAATATCTAGGAACACCTTATAGACTACACTGTGGTGCCAGTGCCAGATACCAGATCTGACAATTTTACACTAATGATCCAGTGCTAGATTAACTAGGTACTGGTTAAGGCTATCTTTTATCTGTAAGATATCAGAGTAATTGGGTAGTAGTAGAGGGCCAGGCATATTCAGCAATCTTTTACCACACCATGGCACAAGATTACACTAGTCACACATGTACCAGTACCAGGTACCAGATTAGACAATATATCATACCAATATATGGTATAAAATTAGACTCTCGTGTGCCAGTACTAGGTACCAGATTAGACAATATCATACCAATACATGGCATAAAATTAGGCTCTCGTGTGCCAGCACTAGGTACCAGATTAGACAATATCATACCAATACATGACACAAAATTACGTTGACTCTTGTGTACTTGGACTAGGCATCAGATTAGACAATTTCATACCAATATGTGGTGCAAGATTAGACTCTTGTGTACCAGCACTAGGTACTAGATAAGGCAAAATCATACCAATACCTGGCACAAAATTAAACTCTCGTGTGCCAGTACTGGGTACCAGATTAGACAATCTTATACCAATATATAATTCAAGATTATGCTCATATGTAGGTGTTAATAGCAGGTACCAATTTGAAAATAATCAGTCATGTACCAATACCAGGTATCAGGGTCAGGGTCATTTATATAAAGAACTTTTCTCTGTTCTTGGTCAGAACTTTTCAACCAAAAATTAGGTCTACTTCAGTTTATTTTGTAGTCCACTTAAACATAATTTACATAAAAATGAAGCATTTGTCTGCAATACTAGCATTATCTTCCTTGTTATTTTTATTTCATCATCTTAGTCAGGACAATTGTTGATTAAGCTTGGTTCAAAGTTGATTAAGACCCCGTTCCTATACTTAGATCCATCTAGCATGATCAGCCAATGTCCGAGAGGTTTTTTCACTAAATTGCTTCTAGCTTAAGCAGCTATGATGTCTGGCATGCTTACCGAAGCTGCTAGGTGGGTTGTTAACTATCGTTTAATAGTTTCAGTAGGTGTGCCAGACACCTAAGCCACTTAAGCTGAAAGCAATTGGGCAAGAAACCCCTTGGATATGGGTCGATTCTGCTAGATCAATCTAGCTATGGGAATGGGGTCTAAAATTTTGGTCTCAATCAAATTATAGACCTATTTTAAGGCTAAGTTTCTTTAGTGAAATAGGCCCATCTACTTTTAAATCCTCTCTCATTTTTACATGCTAGATGGTTGGGTTATACATAGAACATATTAACTAAATTCAAAGTCAGCTTCATTTATGCATCTCTCTTTTTTGATTCAGGGTTGATATGTGAACCTTCCCACTTTACCAAGGTCAACAATAAAGACAAACTAAAACAGATGAATGTAGAGTGCACAAAGTCGCAGCATTCAGGAGATATTTTCTACCCCTCGTTGCACGAGGATTCTGGGACATGTACATTCCAGACAGACCCGATGCTTTTCAGTTGCGTAGGCTCTCAGGAAGGACAGCGACGGATATGTCCATGTAGAAACTATATCAAAGGTCAAATTGCAGTTTGTGAGCAGTGTTTATAATGGAACGGAGTGATTTAAGAGCTAATATATTGAATTTTAATATTTTGGATTATTTGTAACTGAAATGCTATATTTTCAGTCGTTAGTTTTATTTCTTAGTGAATTAAGGAAAAAAATGCCTCGGTGCGAAGTAACTCATTACTGATTACTTTTAATTGAGATGTGGTGGTGCACTGTAGCAAATCTACTTTTGATATATGATATGTCAGTCATTTTATATTTTTTGTTTTAAACAAATTAAACTGAAAAATATAAAGGAATACACAGCTATTCATTTACTTTCATTTCAGTTTTATTTCACTTATGTAAGTTATCATGCCAACATTAGTCTTGCGCAAATGCTTCACCTTACCATGGGATAAACAGTATCCGGACTATCAAGAATATTTTACCGCAAGGCAAACAAATGCCCAGTGTATTTTGTTCTATTGACTGATTTAACGTATTAAAAGTACATTAATGCTATAGCTTGCTATACCATGCCTAGTAGCAAGTTGTTTGTGGAGCATAGGCTATTTGGTTGTGAAAAGTTAGTTCATTTTATAGCATTTTTTTGATGTGTACAATATTGATGACTTACACAGGGTTTCCATATGCATGTTCTTATTTGTGTTATTTGGATTTTATATATTGTGACAAAAACTGACTTTTTCAACTCACTGGTTTCTTAGTAGACATCAAGCAGTAATTTTGGATTATATATATATTTTTTTTTGACATTGGATCCCATTGCAATTGAATTGATATTTTTAGTGTTTAATAGTATTATTATATGACAGTTTATTCTTTGCCAGAGGTTACTTGAGGGGAGACGCAATTGTTGTGCAAAACAGAACAGAAATGTGCACGGCTGGTGAATAAGTCCGAGAAATATCTGTAAATATCTAGCGAAAATCTCGTCTCTCTGTGCCACTGATAGAGAGTAATAAAAGTTCACCAGTGCTTCAGAGATTATTTGCATATTTTCTTTAAATTTACTATAATCTATTTTTTTAGCCTAACATGTTCAGGTAGCATGAACATGTGCATGACCTTGTGAACAAGGGAGTGATTGATTCCCAAGCTGAATGCTTCATCTATATGGATATCACAGCTTGGAATTGACTTTAATTATTATATAAGCTAGTGGTGCTTACTAAAGATATATGCTTCTGTGCCATATTCCTACTATGTTTAACTTCAAATTATCAGAATTATACTTAGAGGAAGGTAAGCAATGTTATATCTGTATCATATACTTTACCCAGGGTTTGTCTTACCTTTTTTTCATAAGTTTAAGTCCCTCTTTTACATATCATTGCTAGATACAATATGCTACACTGTCTTTCTATCCTAAAGTGATTACAGCAGTGTAAATATTTTGAAATTCGATCATGTTTCTCTTGTTTCATCCATCTTTTTGTCTGAGCAATTTATGGTATGGAATTACGTTTACTGGAACTGGTTTTTTCTATGTTGCAAAAGACAGAAAGTTACCAAGTTAGCGTGTAGCAATTAGACCATGTCTGTCACAACAAGCATTTTCATGAATCAAGAAATCTCAGTTTTGATTAAATTCGATCTTATTTCCTAATACAGTAATCTTATTGTTTTGTGAAGTTGCATTCAGCCTGCCTTGCCCCAAGATCATTAGCTTGTATTTTTCCTTAACTCTTGTGTAGTGTAGAGCATCGTAAATGATGGAGACAGTACAATTAGCTTTTGAAAATGTTATTATTGCTCAACAAATCAACTGTATTCATGTCTTATATAATTAAAGATGTATTTTGACAATTTTTTGCGCTTTGTAGTATCGGTCATTGACCTCCCCAGGGGGGGAAAAACCCTCATAACTGGCAACTGGATAAGTTTTGTAGAAAGCTAGAGATTATTTGTCTGTGAATTTGATTTGGTGATCCATGCAGATTTTAACTATGTGTAGTGTGAATAAGTATATATATATATATATATATATATATATATATATATATATATATATATATATATATATATATCATTATTTTAGGTTGAATAAATGAAGTGAGTCTTGTTGAACCCTATGGAAGACCCTAAACACCAGTAGACTTATGCGGGCCTTATGCTTGCCTTACTATATAAGAGCTACCGATGACTGCCATGCCTCTGTAGATTTTTTTTAGTCACAATTAGGAGTTTTGAGAATGAATTCAAATAGGAGTTCACATCAAAATCTGCTTGCCATTAATATAAGTATGCTTACTTATCCCCAATTATGCTGTACATCCAAGATATTTTGAAAAACTAATCTCATAAGCCATTATATAGGTTGTTCTGAAAAAGACAACGAGTTTTATAGAACCTCTGGTAGATTATTCATCATATATGGATGATGTAGATAGGTTTAGGGAAAAAAACGCAGCATCCTGTTGTTGCTGGAGCACATATTAAGAACTTTGAATTGTGTTGACATGGTAGGTTCAAGCTGATAATGTAAAGGGACAGAGAAGACACCAACTTCCCCCTCCCCCCACCCCATTGCACAGGAAAATTTTGGAAATATGTTGGAAGCAATTTGTGGTGCTTGGCCACATTGATTGTCTTTTATTCTCTTAACGAAAGGGTCAAGGGGTTAAGTCCAAAATTTTGTTTTGGGATGCTCCCCCCCCCCAAACATCGTCCCCCGTCCCTGGATTGATCTGCCTATGCAGGCAGACAATTAATAATATGAAGATAAGTATAGGGTCTCTTGTCTGCTTACTTACCAGGCAACATGGGTAAGACCCGAAAACTTTTGACATAATATAATGCTTTTTAAAACGAGTACATATAGTAAAATGTATATTGTTACGATCTATTTTTCATGTACAATTACAAAAAAAATTGCCTGCTGTGCTATTTTTGCACCATGATTATTCAAGATTTTAAATTTTTGTTGTTGATATATCGAAGTAATGTTGTAGATATCTTAAGCTGTAGACCATTTACTTTTTTGTTTGTTTTTAGGGACCATGTTTTAAAACTCGTTGATTAGTGTCATTCAATAATCGCAATTCATTTGTAGCTTGTACTGTACATTCTATTGTGGCATTTCAAATAAAATTCATACAAACTGAAATTTCTTGTTTTACGTCTTCTTTTATTTGATATTACGCCACGGATGGGACAACTAAAATATTGTGACGCTAGAAGTGGAGGCGCTTATGTATGTACGCATATATACATGTGGAAATCAATTCTTGATGTAAATCTGTTGAACGTCAGTCGATTGCTACGCTTTCTAAATAGTCAAAATTCAATGTTTTTTTTAATGTTACGGACTAAATTTTTTTTAACAATTAAGAATGACCAACTTGTTTTTAAAAAAATACAAGTTTTAACTGCTTTGCTAATAGCAAAATGGTCATTTACCGACGTTTTCTGTATTTTACAGAAGTGTTAAGTACGTTTGCCAATCTTGTTGGAAACGTCAAATCGGTATGTTAAAGACAATTATTTGGTGAATTATAACCACTAGAGCAAGGACCAATTAATCAGTTGCCTTTGAGGATTCATTCCGCTTGGATGCGGTATGGTGAGTATCGATATTAAGAATGAAGTAAAGTTGCCTTATGCATCATTATCATTGCCACAGGATCGTACGCTACGAAAAATGCTTAGAGGGCAGCTGCTGAAGAATACATGCAAGCAGGTTAATTGCACATCGCGAGGTATTCATCAGGACACTATGACTGGGTTCCCATACTTAGATCGATCCACCTGGATCGACTCAACTCCCCGGGGAGTCTCCCTAAATTGCTGTCAACTAACCGGCTTAAATGTCTGTCACGTCTACCGAATCAGCTAGGGGTAAAGATAATTACACCCTAACAGCTTTACTAAGCGTGACAGACATTTAAGCCGGTCAAGTTGACAGCAGCTTAGTGAAACTCCTCAGGGAGATGGATCGATCCAAATATCTGTGGGGATGGTCCCTATGGCTCTGGAACATTAATTGTTAAAAAGAAATTGTAATTTTCAGTGGTTGTATCACTCATTGTTGACTAACCGAGATATCGTCAATTAAGTACGACCCGAAATCACTATCGCAAGCCAGGTGTTTGGCAAGACGTCCTTACCAGTATTTCAGTTCGAAAGTTTTCAGTAAACAATAGTTCGTACTTTCATTTTAAGCTTGGACTGTCCTTTGATATATCGATTACATCGGATTTCTAGAATAAAGGCAAGTGCTCTGAAAGCTTATCAGAATCGAATGTTTTGCCCCTTTCATCCTTTGGCATTTCGGTCTAGTCTGCGAGTTTACAATTTACGTCTTTTCAAGTCATTATTACAGAATCTGACAGTTACTTAAGCACGACTTTGACGTTTAAAGGTTTGTTCCCATTGTCTTTGAAAATATCAAAGGAATGCATTACCATTACGTATACTTTTCCAGAAAGCCTTTTGTGAGTTGTCGATCCGATGAATTCAGCTCCTATAATCACTGTTAAGGGGGTAAGTAGTAAGAAATCAACACGACGGTTACCATAGATGTGAGGATTGTGTGAGGTTTGTTTGTTTGCATCATTTTTTTTTTTTTTTTTTTTTTTTTGGGGGGGGGGGGTNCATCAATGCTTTTTGAAATTGTTTTCTTTTTTAAAGTCTTATTTATTTTTATTACGTCATTTTCTTTATTTTCGAAAATTCTATCTTGTCTGTTTTGATTTTCACCTGCGTCTCATCCTATACATGTAGGTAAAAGTGCACTTGCACTGAAGTTTGTTCCGGTGCATTATTGGGATGATTCGATAAGCGGGTTCAATTTAGCTAAGATACGCACTGGACACAGCCCGTATTCGATTGCTCAAATGCCCTTGTTATGTACAGAACGGTCGTATCTAATATTTCTGTATGTCTAAATGCTTTACACAACAAACAGTAAAGCGCGCACGCGGGCGTCCCGGCATATTAAGAAGTAAATTTTGTTTATTTGGGCTAGTATGACTTACTCAATTTTTGGATTTCTGAGTACCTTAAAGCTTACAATAGATTGTGTCAACAATGAAGTGGGCAACTTAAGCTTACTCAATTTTTTTTTATTTCTGAGTACCTTATAACTTACAATAGATTGTGTCAACAATGAAGTGGGCCACATCAAAACCGTACAGCTACCTTTTTATAGATTTCCGTCAAACAACCCCAGAAGAAGTACGCCTGCGAACAAATATTTTTGCTGTAATCTGTTATAAAGTTACTTTTGGACACAGAAGTATTTCATGTGGACTCACAGCTTAAGTAAAGCTTGTTTGCAACCGATGCTTTTTTGTCATTGTTGGATACGGTCACTTTACAGGATTAAGACTGGGTTCCCATACTGAGATCGATCCATCTGGATCGACCTAACTCCTTGGGGGTTCACGCTAAATTGCTATCAGCTCAAGAGTCTGTCACGCCTACCGAATCAGCTAGGGGTAAAGATAATTTCCCCCTTACAGTTTTACTAGGCGTGACAGACGTTTAAGCAAATTAGTTTGATAGCAATTTAGTGAGACTCCCCAGGGTGATAGATCGATCCAAATATCTGTGCGAATGGTCCCTAAGTGATCATTTTTATTTTACTTTAATTTGTACATGTAGTTACCTTTTCATAGATTGACGAGGGGCCAACTTACCTCGGGATCTAACTAGCCCGGCTTACACAACACGCTCTTTCTATTGCATGTGTATCAGTGAAAGATTGAATTGCCTGGTGTCGATTAAAGTCTACTAAATCAGTATTTCACCTCATCGCGAACTACATGTAGAAATTAAAGCGGAAATTGTTCACGCATTGAAGAGAATTTTCCGTCTCATTTATAGGAAAAATCATTATCCTCTTGTAGTTTTTTTTTGTCCATCATACACAAAAAAATTAAGATAAATTAAACAGAATAATTTATAGGAACTAAAATGCATTGAATTGATTTAATACAAGAAGTAATGTAGAAAGCTTTAACACTTAAATGAAAAAAATTTGTATTATACTATTATAGCTAATTAGCATGGAAAATGTTCATGCATTGAGAGAGTTTTCCGTCTCATTTATAGGAAAAATCATTATTCTGTTATACATAGTGTTTTGTCCATGATACAGGAAAACATTAAGATAAAATTAAACAGAATGATTTACAGGAACTGAAATGCATTGAATTGATTTAATACAAGAAGTAATGTAGGAAGCTTTTACACTGAAACGAAAAACAATTTGTATTGTTCTATTATAGCTAAATTGCATGGCTAAAATATTAATTTTAGCTAGGTAAAGAGCTAATGGCAGCTTAGATGAAGTCAGCTGGTTTTCTATTTTTAATATTGCAGCAGACACTATGTGGGTAGTATTCTCAGAAGTCTTTCATTTATTCGAACTCGCGGTGAAGGCGAAATAAAATTTATCCATTTAGTTCTTTTGAACGGACGGAAACAAGGGAAAACAAACAGCAACAACTGGCGGTTCAATGTAATTTTATAATCATATATGAACTAAAATTACAAACAAACGACATTTGAATTTAAATTAAATATAATTTCATGCGGTTTTCAAACGGCAGGTCTTCTTTGTTGACACAAGTTATTGTAAGTTATAAGGTACTCAGAAATCCGAAAATCGAGTAAGCCAAAGATGTTTGTAATTCAGACAAGATAGGATTTTCGAAAACAAAGAAAATGATGTAATGAAAATAAATGTCTTTAAAAAGAAAACAATTAAACAAGTATTTGTCGCCATAGCTACCAAAAAAAAAATAATAATAATAATAATGCAAAGAAACAAACAAAGAAGGAAAACAATCCTCACATAATCCTCACGTGGATGGTAACCGTCGCGTTGATTTTTTTACTACGGGAGTATCTGTTAAGGGTTACAAACTATTGCATCATTATAACGCACAATATTTTAAGCAAGAAGAGAAAAAAAGAAAATGCGGTAATTCTTTTGCTCTGCACTTCAGAAAGTTTCAAAAACCTCAGTTATATGAAGTCCACTATCCAAAACCCCAAAAACAAATGTGAGATTTTGACTTCAATGTGTTGTCGCTTGCATCGCTTTTTCAAAATGTTATGCTGATTTGTTTGTTTACAGGTCTACCGATTTCGGTTTTAGAACGCTTGGATTGTTGCATGTAGTAGATTATAATCTATAATCTAGAGTTACATGAAGATGGCCTCAGACAGCCTATACAACCCATTTAGATTAACATAATCAAAGTGAAAGCCTCATCCTGTGTTTTAGGTACCACTCCCACAGATATTTGGATCGATCTATCTCCACGGGGAGCTCTCTAAATTGCTATCTGCCATGGGCGAGGCCGAGCATGCAAGAAAGTTAATTACCCCCCTAGCTGATTCGATAGGCGTGACAGACATTTAAGCCTCTTAAGCTGAAAGTAATTTAGCGTGAACCCCCAGGGAGTTAGGTCGATCCAGATGGATCGATCTAGGCATGGGAACCCAGTCTTAGAATACACTAGCCTCTGTCGATACTGGAAACGGGTGGAAAGCATAACTTAATAAAATGAATCTAAAGGATGTATGCCATTAGCAGCAGTTTTTAATTAGTTTGCGCTTCTTTAACGTTTTGCAATGGCTTCATTACCGATTGTAAGGGCAACTTAACGCTGAATCTCAACATTTGATTTGATTGCATTTAAGTATGTCTTCCATTCCATGTTTTAAGGTTTTTAACTTCAGTCCTAAATAAAACCGCATGGTTCTTTGTTGACATAAATTAGCATTCCTTTACCTAGGCATCGGAGTGGAAATTAAGGAGTTTGAAACAGTGTTTAATGGAGTTTAAAAACAGTGGAATGAGTATTTAAATTGACCGTGAAATATAACCACCCTCGCACGTTACGCTGGTCTATCTTTAAGATAAATGCCAGCGTTCACTGAAACGCCCTTCTTCGTTATCTTGAATCCCTCACTCGTTCGGTATATAAGGTCAAGTCAGGGGTGCAAATTTAAAATGAAGTTCCAAGAAAGTTCAGTTTTCAAGGCGCATTGCTCTTTTCATCAATAAACTGCCTTCGGTTATTCAGTTTGAGAAAAGGACACGGTCATTTTTGATTTAATGAAAATCCACGTGTTGTTGAAAATAA